CACAGGGTCCAAACATTTCCTGTAGGATCTTCCTAAGACCTTTTCTAATCTTGCTTTTGGATTGTTTGCAGATACTCTGCCCCTTCCCACGTCTCAAATTATAATTGTTTTTTGTGCTTTCAAGAACCATGAGCTCTTCTAAGCAGTTGTCTGAGTGTTTGAAAATGATGGTAATTCACTCTTACAAAGCTGGGAAGGCAGGGAGGGAGGGAGGGAGGGAGATGATAGATGAGAGAGAGATGAGAGAGACTTAGAAAACTAAACCCCCCAGTGAGCCATTTCAGCCATGAGAAACATTGTTCAGAAATGGAAGTTACACAGACTTGATCAAATCATGGCAACACCTGGAACAGCAAGGAAGCCTTTGCTAAAACTGGCTCCAAACTGGTCAGATTGGGAAATAGAGCCCATGGACAATCTGTTCAAAAGTTAGCTGACGCTGGAGTGGCTATCTGCTGGTCCACAGCACAACATCGCTCATACAACTGCGCAGAAGGAAAGACGTCTCCAACTAAAGTTCTTTAGAACTGTCCCAGAGCCAGTGAATGAATTGAAGCTGAAAAGAGACCGTTCACCAAGACAATGGTCCGAACCGTTTTTCTCCATTGTCTTCTGCAGAACTCTATGGTCCTGTGAAAACTTGATGGGGTTCTGTGAGGGTCTAAAGGACAGAAAAACTGTTCATTTCAGCACAGTCAATTTTCTATCACTACAGTTTTGAGCAGGACATTGGGGAAGGGTTTTGAATGGCCTTCTTGGTCCCTAAACCTAAATATCTCTGAACATATGGGGGGAGACCTTAAATATGCAGTGCATGGAAGGAGAATCTTTCTCAGCTAGGAGAGTTCTGAAAGGAAGAGTAGGAAAATTCCAACCCAGGAATAGAAAGACTCTATTTGGTGACTAGAAAAAAACTTTTGGAAGCTCTTATTTCTGCTAATGGTGGTGTTACAAAGTCCTGGTGCAAAGAGCATCCAAAATTCTGCATCTACCACATTCACCCTTTTCTTACTTTGAATCTGTATACAACTGCACCGCAATAGTAAGGAGGCATCCACATTTGCAGAAAGGTGTGGTGTTCAACTTTCTACCATGTAGCCCCTGTGTCAGCTGTTGTTCACTTAGGGATTCACTGACATCTATAACCTTTTGCAAATTACTCTAGGTTCATTCGGGGTGGCTGGTATACACTATTTTTCATCTCTACTCCTCCTGAGCACACCATCCTATGATTTTGCCTAGGATAACATGTTGGTAGAACTTGTTCTCATGTAATATTCCATTTATTTGTTTGTTTGTGTGTTTGTTTACTCAATTTATTA